AGTCGTATTTATCTGAAAGATCACGTAATTATTTTTGTGTTTCAAGCCTCTCAAAACTTTTTTTTTCTTCCTCAAATACCATATATATTAAGTTATCAGAAAGAGATTCTCCGCTAAAAAGAGCCATTTAGGAATCGACTTGCTTACATGGAAGAACAGGCTATTTCGATCCCGAGCTTTCTTAGCTAAACAATATGCTCGAGTATTAAAACTACGAGGAAGAAATCCAATATTAAAATAAGGAAAAAATAAACTAAAGATCGAAAAGAGGCCAATTCCGCTGCAAATGTTGGCCAATCATCTGGATTATCAAGAAGAGATATCAAGTCAGAATAATCAGAGGCAAAAGCGCCAGAGGTATCGCCAATTCAGATCATGCATTACATTGCCCATAACAAGAGTCAAGGTCCGCGTGAAGCGGTGATAAACTTCTTCGAGTAGTCTTAAGGCTAAGATGAAAGATTATGTCTTGTCCAACTAGGACCCATCCATACCCACTTAGAGTATTTTCCAAATGCGAGGAAGCATCAAGCTAACATTTAGAGATCGAGGGGGAAAGAGAGATGGGCATGTACCGAGAGGAAAATGGACTCTGTATATACAACTTCTTTCAGATTTGCTTGTTTCACAACAGTTGTTTCTTGGATTGACTTTCGGCTTTAACTTGGGAAAACAAATTTCTTCTGGAATCCTTTTATTTCTATTACTTCACATACCTAAGTGCAAAAATGATTGTATTTCGTTTTTCAATTTACGATTTTATGTCGTTTAGCTTTTTAAAAAAATTATTTGCATCATGAAAATATGTATGTTGGATTTAAAAATAGAAATCTTAAAAAATTTTAAATGCCAGGTAAAAACTGGCATGTGTTAATTTTTTTTTGCAATTGATCCTACTCTAATACTCTTTTATTTTGCTGTTATAAAATTTAATATACTTTTAGCCAACGACAAAACCGGTTTATATGAAAGATAAGATGACAAAATACTAATAGTTTACATGGAGCAAATCTACAATTAGTTAAATTCTTCTGTTAATTTTGCTGTTTACAATGATAATACACACATTCTTGCAAAACTAAAGCAAGACATGCTCACTCGCTTTTCTCTCTCTTCTCTCTCTCGCATCATTTAGAGAGAGAAAGCTGAAACTTTTCTTGCTTTAGTCGGCCGGATTTTTCCGGTGACTACCCATGTCCAGCATCTTCTCAATCGTTTATGGAGATGGTTGGCTTATGTCTGGCAGCGATCGACTCATCTAGCGACGTTGGCCGGCTTTGCGTTTTCACCCCGCCGTAGATCGGGTTTCGTCTTCCGATCTCTTTAGTTTTGTTGTTGTTTTTCTTTCAATAATATCCATGGATCTGGTTTGGTGGAAAATTTTAGGTGCTCTGTTACTTAAAATTATTATTCTCCTGCTTGTTTCCATTGAAAATATGAGTTTGCAGAAATCTATTTGGAGATGACGTTTTAGATTAAAGAATCGAAGAATCTTCCGATGCATATTCTGATTTCCTTAAGCTGTTAGATTATCATGGAGTTTCGTTTGGATTCGGTGATAACCAGAAATTTCGTTTGATGTATCTTGACGACAATTTCTCACCGGAACGATGCTCACGGCGAAAGTTGATATCGGAAAACTTCTGTTTACTCATCCTACACGTGTTGTGGCTATGTCCACTAGATGACACGAGGGTTTGGATTGAGTCCAATGTCAAAATCTCTTTTATTCTAAGCGGTTGTTTAATGGACTTTTGGGCCTTTTTGGCATCTGTAAACTCTTATGGGGCTATACGTTGTCCTTTAATATGTGGAATGATAAATCAATACTCTTGAGACAAAAAAAAAAAATACACACATTCTTGAAGCTGTGATGATTAAGCAAAGAAAGCTTTAAACAGCTGTAAAGATTACACATCTCAAGTTGTAATTAAGTAGTTATTAACAAGTAACAAGAAAAAGGTCTGAAAAAAGTGAAGACCTTTAATTGTTATCTAGGACAAAACAATAAAAAAAAAAAGAACACACTTATTTTTAATCTTTTTTCCTTATGGATTTGATTGTACATGACATCCGATCTCAAGTAAATTTTCAAGTGGTTGGTTCTATTTCTTTTGTCGTCCCGATCGAGTTTCTTCTCCTTATCTCCAGAATTTGATCTTAAAGATCTCAAAAGTCTCTTCCTTTTTTCTTCATTTCTCTACCCAGATATGTAAGTTTGCTAGCTTGTTCTGTCATAACTTTAATATCTGAATCTTTTTTCGATCCAAATAGTCAAATATTCGCATCTATGTCAAATCGATTCAAACCCTTTTTTTAGATTGATGTGTTGAGTAGTTCTGAGTTGATTAAGTCTATAAGTTTATGAGAATGGTTTGTGTAAGATTCTGATTGGTTCAAGTTGAGTAGTTTTGAGTTGATTTGGTCCATTGTGTGATTCATGTACACGTATATGAGGAAGAGATTAGATTGTGTAAGATTCTGATTGGTTTCAAGTTTTAGTTTCTTTCTTGATTTTTTGATTGCTGAGTAGTTCTAAGTTGATTTGGTCAACTGTGAATCGGGTACAAGTCTATGAGATAGAAATGAATTGTGTAAGATTCTGAATTTGTGGAGCAAAAAAATTGATGTTGTTTTTTTGGCAGAAAGCGATGGGTACATACCTAAGTTCTCCGAAAACTGATAAGCTATCAGAAGATGGTGAGAATGATAAGCTCAGATATGGTTTATCGTCTATGCAAGGTTGGCGCGCTACCATGGAAGATGCGGTGAGTCAAACATAATTTTATTTGCTTCTTGTTGATCATACCTGACAAGCTTAATCTTGCTTGAATTTGTAGCATGCTGCAATTCTTGATCTGGATGATAAGACGTCGTTCTTCGGGGTGTACGATGGGCATGGAGGTAAGAAACTACTGGCTCTACTCCTAAATCATTATCTAGTTCAGGCGAATTTAATTTAGATTCTTTTTTAGTTGGTGTTACACGAATCAGATAGAATTTGAAAGCCGATAATGCTAAATCGAATGAATGATAAGGGAAAAGAAGTTCTTCTTGTGGTTCTTGACCATTGCAAAGATTTAGAACTGTTGATTACATATGTATATAAACTTTTGGTGTATTTTTCGATGTTTCGTTCTTTACTTTCCTTTTGGATATGCAACTCAAAGTAATATCTACTAAATGGCATAGGTAAAGTCGTTGCAAAGTTCTGTGCCAAGTATCTACACCAGCAGGTTATCAGTAATGAAGCATATAAAGCTGGAGACATAGAAACAGCTCTTCGAAGAGCATTTTTTAGGTTTCGTTTTCTCTTTGACATGTTTGTGTAGTAATTTACTTTTACAACAAAAGAGGGTTCCACTAAAAAGCGTTACATTGTGAATATTGTAGAATGGATGACATGATGCAAGGACAAAGAGGATGGCGAGAGTTAGCTGTACTCGGTGACAAGATGAATAAATTTAGCGGCATGATTGAAGGATTTATATGGTCACCAAGAAGCGGTGACACTAATAACCAGCCCGATAATTGGCCTCTTGAGGATGTAAATTGTTCATATACCTGCTTTACTTGGCTTTTTCCATATTCTGTACACGATTGAGTTGGGACCTCTGACCCGTACCTTCGTTCTTATACAGGGTCCTCATTCTGATTTCACGGGACCTACTTCGGGGTGCACAGCATGCGTAGCTCTTATTAAAGATAAGAAGCTCTTTGTTGCAAATGCCGGTGACTCACGTTGTGTGATATCAAGAAACAGTCAGGCTTACAATCTTTCTAAAGATCACAAGCCTGATCTTGAAGTTGAAAAAGAAAGGATATTGAAAGCTGGTGGCTTTATTCACGCTGGTAGAATCAATGGAAGCTTGAATCTGACAAGAGCCATTGGTAAGCTTTATCTTTATGCTTCCACTTTCATTCCTTAAAGATTCTTATTTGACTTGTAATTTTGATCGAAGCATCGTTCCTGGTTCTTTACAGGTGATATGGAATTCAAGCAGAATAAGTTCTTACCATCTGAAAAGCAAATGGTTACTGCTGATCCAGATATAAACACTGTAAGAATCTTACCTTTTTTAGTATCTTCCGCTCGAGTTTGTTTATTTGAGCTGACTTGTTATTGTTTCCTCTCATCAGATTGACCTATGTGATGATGATGATTTTCTTGTTGTTGCATGTGATGGAATATGGTAAAAAAAGAATGTCAATAATTGTGTCATTTTCTACATATAAGTTGGTTTCTTGATGATAATTTGAATTCATCTTATCTTCCTCAGGGATTGTATGTCAAGCCAGGAACTAGTGGATTTTATCCATGAACAGTTAAAATCTGTATGTTAACCCTTTTCCTTATCTCTCTACTATTACAGTTTTTGTTCCTGTCTTGGTCTGTAACATTGGTAAAAACTTTCAGGAAACAAAACTTTCCTCGGTATGCGAAAAAGTTGTTGATAAATGTTTGGCTCCAGACACTACGAGTGGAGAAGGTTGTGATAATATGACCATCATCTTGGTTCAGTTCAAGAAGCTTAACCCATCCGAGACTGAACCAGAAGAATCCAAACCAGAACCAAGCGAAGATGAGCCGAGCTCTTCAAGCTAGATATCCTTAAAGAGCCAAGATTTGTGAAAGTCTCTTTTATCATTGACTTCTTTAATTTCAACGTTGTAAATCCTTTTGAATGACTTAGATTCAAGAAGCTTCAAGAAGTCTGAAATGTCACAGAGTTTGGTTTAATCGAAAACGACTTAGTATAGAGCTTTCTTGTGAATGATGTTTTTTAACTATAGTTTCAAATTCACAAGGACAAGCTTCTTCATACCTTTGTACAAACATCATGAGATTTGTTTTTGTTGTCTTCACCAAAATTGCTTCTTCCACTAGCTTAATATTTTTCTTGGAGCTTTCATATTTCTTGTATTACTGGAAAAATTTGTAATATTTCATATCTTTTAGATTTTTTGTTTCTTTTTATTTTTTAGTCAATCTGTGACAATCTTGAGAAATAATAATAAATTGAATTTATAATAAAATAGTAGCAAGGAGCCAAAGACAAAGATCTCTTAGCTAAACAACACAACATGTAATCATTTAAAAAAAAAAGCTTTTTAAAACAAAAAAGCTCATTCTAAAAAGCAAACTCATCACATGGTTCCAAATCAGAACCAAGCCAATAGACCAAGAACAAGACCTAACACAACATATAGACCATCACCATGCCTAACTGAGCCACTGGTTGGAGCTGGAGCCAAAGCTGGACCATCTTCAAACTCAACCGGAGAAGGAGCCGGAGAGCTGACACTGTGACGAGGACTGATCACAACAAGGCTCAGCTTCTGACCTTTCTCACAGTGACCATTAGCTCCACTAATGAAGTAGAATGGACCCGAACGGTCTAATTTCACTTTGGTCTCTCCATCGGTGTAGTTAGCCAAAGGGTTCGTGGTGTTGCAGCTGTTGTAAGCTTCTTTAGTTACTTCCAAAACCGAGTCTTTACCAGATTCGTACCGGAAAACTGAAAACAAGACAAGTGATTGTGTCAGAAACAGAGTATCTCGGAAGAAAACAGAGTCTATGTCAGAAACAGAGTATTTAATGGTGGGTACCAATAAAGTCGCCGACTTTGAAGCGAGCTTTTTGAGCCCATTCGGTGAATGAGTAAGAAGAGGAAGGAGGGATCTTCCAGTCACCGGATTTTCCACCGACGGTTACTTCATTTGCAGCGGCGAGAGAGAATAAGAAGATGAAGGAAAAGATAGAAACGATAAGCGAAGGAGAAGCCATAGATTGAAAATGTTACTAAGAAAAAGATTTAGTTTTTTGGGATTTTGTGTTAGGAATGTTGTTTTGGAGATTGAGGAGTTTCTTGAGACGGTTTTATAGTGGTGAAAATTCGAAAACTAGCCGTTAGATTATTTACTTTTTGTTTTGTTGTGAAAGAAAAGAATTTTGGAAAGGTAAAGAAATGTAAAATGTTGTTACTGTAGCCGTTGTGAGTGATGTAACCGTTAGAGAAATTTTGAAACAATGTAATTATGGATACTGACATGTGTGGTGTGTGTCAGCCAAAGCTATGAGTGTTTCTCGTTGTCTCGCTTTTGATTTTGACAAAATAAGTGCTTTAGTTCGTAAATTTCAAGAAAAATAAACGTAGTAAAAAGTTAAATCCAGTCAGTAGTCTTTGATTTTTAGACTATGTGAATTCTATTTGGTGATGGGGGATGCTTGGGTATTGGCCCTACCTTTACAATTTCGAATATATTGTTGTGTTCAATTCCGGCCCAATAGATTTCTTGGCCCAAAGCCAATATAAATTTTCAAACTTTTCCTTTTAAATTTTTTTTTTAATATATTTGTGTACAATGGTTTTTTTTAAGAGATAGTTTTTTACTAAGTGCTAAAACCAATTTGACCAAATAAATTTTCTCCATTTTAATATTTATTAGAACAAGACATAAGACATAAGGGATTTAGTTCAACTTTAGCATGATCGATCCTAGAATGCATAAACTCATTTGCTCAAATGCATAATCCGTTTGTGCAAGGTTTGACACCGATTGAAACTATTTAAATGCATAGTGATATGTTTAGCGCCAAACCCATAAACTAGAGTTTTGTTTAGGTGAATTTGGTCTGTGTATTCAAAGACTTGGTTCTCAAGGGCATTATTCTCACGATTGAGCATTTTCGAAATACCAACTATATCGTCGATTTGTTTCAAAGTATCTCTAATAAACCTTCATTTATATATTGTGGTTGAATTAATAGCTAAATACATATCGGTAACAAATATTATTTTTATTTCATAAAAAATGTTATTTTAACATGTTTCACATAATTTTTTATCTTTTATATAAAAATTATGTAAATTTCTACTATATCTTTTATAAATACACTAAAGATTTTTTTTTCAAATTAATAAACTGAAATAACAATGACAAAAAAAGATATAGTCTTAAAAATTACAATAAAAATACAAAACTGTATTTTTGTGAAATAAAAGTGAAACTTTAAACATGTAGACAATATATAAGTATAGAACTATAAAAATAGTGTTTTTTTCTTAATGACTTAGAAACAAACTATGATCTCTAAGTGTGTACTCATTCAAAGATTATTCAATTTTTTAAATGAAGTGATGGCCAAAAACAATTAATTGCAAAAATTCCGAGTTTAGGAAAGAAAATAAAGCAAATCTTAAATAACTCAAAAAAGAATATTGGAAGACATGTATCATAGTCCTAAACAAAGTAACAGATCTTTGGGTCCTCCTTTCTTTTTTTTCTCCCTTCTATCTGAAATCCGACATCCTCAATCTCTGTCTCAATTTCTCCTTAGCTATATCATCACCTTCTTGGTCATAGAATCAGAGAAAAGCTTTAAAAAAAAAACCCTAGTTCCTCTTTTTCACATGAAAACCTAACTCTCTCTTCTCTCTCTGCATCATTTCTTCTTTCTCGCATGTGCAGAGCTATCAAACATCTGTTTTTGATTGAAAGCTAAGTCTCCAATTCCAAAACGGAAGAAATTGAAAGTGTGTGTGTCAAGACAAACCACCAAACTACAAAAGAAACAAAACCCACATCGCATTGTTCCTTAAAGACCCAGCAACAAGATTATCTCACGCTTCCTTCTTTCTTCCTGACATTTTTCTCATTTTTGTTTTCTCGTTATTTGGGGTTTTTTCTCCAATGTGGGTCGCATTTGGTGATAAGTGATTATTTCTAGGGATTGTGTGACCTTTGCTTTATTGGGTTAAGCATTTAAAGAAACCTCTCAATGGCGTTGTTTAGAAAGTTCTTTCACAGAAAACCTCCTGAAGGTTTGCTTGAGATCTCTGAGAGAGTTTATGGTATGTTCTTCCTTCTTTTAGGTGTTGGGTTTAGGGTTTGCTTTCTCATTCTTGCTCTTCTTTGGGATTTGGAGTATTGATTTTTAGAAAGTTTGAGTTTTTATGGTCTTAAAGATCAGATTTTTAGAGTTTTGCTAGCCTAAGTTCAAAGTGTAGTGTCCTGTTTTAGTTTCTAGTTCTTGTTAGGCTTGTTGATTGAACTGAATCTAACATTTGATAGCTTAAGATTCTTTATGGGTGAGATTTAGCTCATGGATAGATTTTTTTTCAGGTTTTGTATGTTCACTGTGTTGTGTTGCATGACTTCTCAAATTCTCACTTGTCTTATCCATGCTTAGCTCTGAGAAATAGACCATTTTAGTGACAAAGATACAAAAGATTGCTCTATAAGCTGCTTACAAATGATAAGATTGCTCTTATAAGGTTGCTGAGCTTTGATGTTTATATTACAGTCTTTGATTGCTGCTTAACCACGGATATGTTGGAAGATGAAGATTACAGAGTTTATGTGGGCCGCATAATGAGTCAGCTACGAGAACAGTTTCCCGGTGCATCATTCATGGTGTTTAATTTCCGGGATGGAGATAGTAGAAGCCGGATGGAGAGTGTACTTACTGAGTATGACATGACTATCATGGACTATCCTCGCCATTATGAAGGTTGCCCTTTGCTTACAATGGAAACGGTTCATCACTTTCTTAAATCAGCTGAAAGTTGGTTATTGTTAAGTCAACAGAATATCTTATTGTCGCACTGTGAGCTTGGTGGCTGGCCGACTCTAGCTTTTATGCTTGCTTCGCTCTTGTTATACCGCAAACAGTTTAGTGGAGAACAGAAAACACTGGAGATGATATATAAGCAGGCTCCTCGTGAGTTATTACAGCTAATGTCTCCACTAAATCCGCTGCCTTCACAGTTGAGGTTTCTTCAGTATATTTCGAGAAGGAATGTTGGGTCACAGTGGCCACCGCTAGATCGGGCTCTTACATTAGACTATGTCAATCTTAGACTGATTCCTGATTTTGATGGTGAGGGTGGTTGCAGACCCATATTCAGAATATATGGTCAAGATCCTTTTATGGCTTCCGATCGGACTTCAAAAGTTCTTTTCTCGATGCCTAAAAGAAGCAAAGCTGTTCAGCAATATAAGCAGGTGATACCAAGATTTTTATCATTGATGTGTTCATTCATTCAGACTCTTCCCAGTATCAGAGAGTTACGATAGTCCTAACTTTTCGTCTACTGTTGCAGGCAGACTGTGAGCTGGTAAAGATTGATATCCATTGCCATATTCTCGGTGATGTCGTGCTAGAGTGCATTACCCTAGGTAGTGATCTTGAGAGGGAAGAGATGATGTTTCGGGTTGTGTTCAATACTGCATTTCTTAGATCAAACATTCTAACACTTAACCGTGATGAGATTGATGTACTGTGGAACACAACAAATCGGTTTCCCAAAGATTTTAGTGCAGAGGTGACTATTTATCTTCTCTTTCTTTAATAATTATACCAATTTTGGTTTCTCAGTTAAAAGAGTTGCCTGTAGTCCAATCTTTAAATGGTCAGTTCCGGTGAACTTAGAATTAAACTAGTCATTTTTATAGAAGTAGTTTGTCTAATACATCTCTCTTAGTCAAGAATTTCGTGCATTTTATACATTTGGTTCCCCAATTAAAGGTTTCACCTTACTTTACGAGCCGGTTAAGATTAATATTAGCGAGTTCAGTTTTGAGCCTGGCATATCTGTTAAAAGCATTTTATGTTATACATAGCTAATTGTCTTTCCAAGTCAAGAAAGGAGTAACATTCTGTGTTTGTTCAGGTTATATTTTCGGAGATGGGTGCTGGTAAAAATCTTGTCGCTGTTGATCACCCGCATATGGAGGAAAAAGATGTTTTACCTATGGAAGCATTTGCTAAGGTTCAGGAAATTTTTAGTGAAGCTGAATGGTTGGATCCAAATTCTGATGTTGCTGTGACTGTTTTCAACCAAATAACAGCAGCAAATATCCTTCAAGAAAGCTTGGATTCAGGGTCTCCTCGAAGCCCTGACTCACGTAGCCTATTGGAATCGGCACTTGAGAAAGTTAAGGAGAAAACCAAGTTGATGATATCGGAAAATATTGTTGCAAGTCCTGATGCATCCTCTCCTGAATGGAAAGAGAAAGATACAGTGTCCTCTCATAAATCTTATGCCGATCCGAATTCAATCCTTAAAAAGGTTGATGAATCGCATGGACTTCGGGTTTCAGTCCAAAGAAATGTTCACCCGAAGATAATTTCACCTCGAGTAGTCCAAAGTCCAGTAACATCACCACTCCCAAACCGTACTCCCACACAAGGATCGCCCGCTTCAGTATCCAGGTTTCACAGCTCCCCTTCTAGCCTTGGGATCACTTCAATATTACACGATCATGGTACGTGTAAAGGTGAAGAGTCTACTTCATCATCACCAGCCTCACCTTCGATTTCGTTTCTACCAACATTGCATCCGCTACTCAAAAAAGCTTCTCCACAAGTTCCACAGTCGCCCACACCTGTTTGTTCAAATGGCCCTCCTTCAGCAGAAGCAGCAGTGACGTCACCACCATTGCCACTACTGAAGCCACTTAGGATTTTGTCTACTCCACCTCCACTCCCACCCCAACCCCCACCTCCCATATCCTCTCTGCGCTCCACTCCTTCACCAAGTTCCACCAGCAGTTCCATAGCAACACAAGGGCCTCCTCCACCTCCACCTCCACCTCCGCCTCCACCTAATCTACAACCTCAGCGTTCTGCACATTCATCTTCTCCTCTGCCACCACCTTTACCTCCAAAGAAATTGTTAGCTACAACTAATCCTCCACCTCCACCACCACCACCTTTGCATTCTAATTCTCGAACGGGAGTCCCCACGAGTTCTTTGGTGGTCAAATCTCCTCCTGTTCCTCCTCCACCAGCCCCTGCACCTCTGTCTCGCTCTCATAATGGCGATAGTAATGGAAATATTCCTCCAGTCCCTGGACCACCATTGGGTTTAAAGGGGCGTGGGATTTTACAGAATCTTAGAGGTCAAGGTCAAACGAGAAAGGCCAACTTGAAACCATATCATTGGTTAAAGCTTACCAGGGCAGTGCAAGGAAGTTTATGGGCTGAAGCGCAGAAATCTGATGAAGCTGCAACGTATGATTAATATCTTCAGTATCAACTTTATACAGTTTGTGATTTTATTTATTATGCTGATTCCAGCATCTTCTTATTGTGTCTTTTGAATTCCAGTGCTCCAGATTTTGACATCTCTGAGCTTGAGAAACTCTTCTCAGCAGTGAATCTTAGCTCTGACAATGAAAGTAAAGGTGGGAAATCAGGTCGACGTGCCCAACCTAAAGTTGAGAAAGTGCAGCTGGTAATTGATTGCAATGAGCATTCTACTGTTCCCAAATTTCGTAAATCTTTTAATTTTCGAGGTTTCACAGCATGAAATTAAGATTCATCGACAGTTACCTATTTTCGTCCTCTAACTTTGTCTATTAGTTTTGCAGATTGAGCTCAGACGAGCATACAACTGTGAGATCATGCTCTCTAAAGTTAAAATACCTTTGCCTGATTTGATGGTAAGCACACAGATTTTTCTTGCTAGATATCGCTTGGCTAGTTCTTGACTTGGTCTCTATCTTAAGTTCCACTGCTCGGTCAATGCAAAATTTAATCTGCTCTCATCTTGTTATGCAAGAGTTGTTTAAAATTTTCTTACCTGAATTATCTTTGGTTACAGAGTTCTGTTCTTGCTTTGGATGAGTCAGTGATAGATGTTGATCAAGTTGACAATCTAATAAAGTTTTGTCCAACAAAAGAAGAAGCAGAATTGCTCAAGGTATTTTTATTTCTGGTTCTTATCTAAAATTTTTTTGCTTCACGAAAATTTAGAAGTAATTATCATCTGGCGATAGCTTATTTTTCTGAGTAAACTGGTGCTACATCTCATGTCTTGGTTTTCTTGCTTTCCGTAGGGCTTCACTGGAAATAAAGAAACTTTGGGACGGTGTGAGCAGGTTAGTCCAATGGTCCACTTTCATATTTGAACAATCTTCTGAGTGTTCCTTTTCAAGTTTCTAGGACCATTCTCGTATTTCTTGGCTGACCAACCATCATTCCCTCTAAGCGGATAAAATATCAATAAACCAACCAAAACAAAATACAAATGAACAATCTTAGAGATGTGCACATAAATAGTCAGAACTATTCTTAACTTACTGATTTCCAGATTTTGTTTTAGGTGGAAACCAAATAGCATTTCCTGTTTAAGCTGGGAGTGATACCTTATTATAATTTCACTTTCATCTCCCGATTATGTACTGACACCTTTTTTTATTTTTCTGGTGATAGTTCTTTTTAGAACTGCTGAAAGTTCCTCGAGTGGAGACCAAGCTAAGGGTTTTCTCATTCAAGATTCAGTTTCACTCCCAGGTAGGAGAATCGACTGGAGTTTGTATTTTTTTGTAATGCTTTCTAGTTACTAATAACCTGGATCTTATATCAGTAAATGGTTGTTATCCTTCAGGTTACTGATCTTAGAAGAGGTTTGAATACCATACATCGTGCAGCCAATGAGGCAAGTCGATTTTTCGTGCAAATAGTCTGTAAACCACATATATTCATGTTGGTGATTTTCAATTCTGACTCTACTGCATGTTACACTTTCTAGGTTAGAGGCTCGGCTAAACTAAAAAGAATCATGCAAACTATACTTTCCTTGGGAAATGCGTTGAACCACGGGACTGCAAGGGGTGAGCAGATATCTATTTTCGTTAGACTGCCAAATAGTATTTATCTTAAAGAGAGACATTGGTTGTATTCAAGTATTTGAATTCGCTTCTGCATTGTTTTTTATATATTTCTACTCTTTTGACAGGCTCAGCTATCGGGTTTCGCCTGGATAGTCTTCTGAAACTTACTGACACTAGATCCCGTAACAGTAAGATGACTCTGATGCACTATCTCTGTAAGGTAGGGGATTTTTCAATCATCTCCAACTCTTTTTTTTTTTTGGTTTAATGTTAAAATCTCTTTGCTCTTAACTAGTATACTATATTCTTTACATACGTTAGTGGTTAGTCTTTATTTTTGTATGTTATGCTAACGGTTTCTTCTCACAGTAACATTTTCATGCTTGTACTTTCAGGTCCTTGCCGAGAAACTTCCAGAGCTACTTGATTTTCCAAAAGACCTGGTGAGCTTGGAGGCTGCAACAAAGGTCCCTTTTTTTCTTTAACTCAGCGTTTAAGATAAATACCTCAATTCACTTTGTGCCTTTGGTGATAATCTCTCTGAAAACATTCCTTGATGATAGATTCAACTAAAATACCTGGCAGAGGAGATGCAAGCAATTAGCAAAGGGTTGGAGAAAGTTGTACAAGAGTTTACTGCTTCTGAAACTGATGGTCAAATATCAAAACACTTTCGTATGGTAAGCTAAATTAGATATTTAAGAAGCTTGTTTCGTTATTGATTGCTCGTGTTTCATCATCTGCTTACACTTCTACTTGTGTTTATGCAGAACTTGAAAGAGTTTCTTAGCTTTGCTGAAGGAGAAGTAAGGTCCTTGGCTTCTCTCTATTCAACTGTGGTAAGAATTCTTTGGCTCTGCCTTCTCCCTGTCTTTATTACTTTTCTGAAGCACTTTACTGTGGTAAGGATTCTTTGGCGTTTCTACTATTGAACTGTGTTTTCTCATGGTATTATTAGGGTGGAAGTGCCGACGCTTTGGCGTTATACTTTGGAGAAGATCCAGCGCGTGTCCCCTTTGAGCAAGGTAACAATATAATGCAAACTCACTAATATGGTTTCTTCTCTTCTTACATCTTGTTTTCTATACATTATCTCCATTTGGTTTTCGGAGTTCTGTCCTTTCTGTCCCTGACCTAAGATATACCAAATCCTTCCGTTTGATTTGAATCTGCAGTTGTATCCACTCTGCAAAACTTTGTTAGAATATTTGTGCGGTCACACGAGGAAAACTGCAAGCAAGTCGAGTTTGAGAAGAAGAGAGCACAGAAGGAAGCAGAGAACGAAAAACTTAAGAAAGGTGTGTACAATGAGAATTGAAACATAACTGCACACAAAAAAGAATGTTGTTCTCTACTCTCGCTCGACCTCCTTGAGTAGCCTTTGGCAGTCCCAGCGCCGGAAAGTAGATGTTGCAGCTCAGCTCCTAGTTCAGGGATTTTACCCGAAGTTAAAACAATTTCCCCAGATTTAGTCTTTTAGATTAGAAGATTAAGGAGGAAACTGTGTTCCTCTGGTAGGTAACAAGAAGAAGAAAAAAAGCTGGAATCCGGCGATTAGGTAATGCAGTCAAAGATTTAGCTGTGTTTTAATGGAGATAGTATTAGATAGTCACTAATGCAAGAGTTTGAGTCCCTTCCTGGTTTAATACAGAAACAGAAATGTAACTTCTTGTGTATAAAGTTTTGGGAGGGTTAAAGAGAGATGTGTAAATATTGAGTGAGTTTGTGTGTGTCTTCTTATCAACATTTACGAGTTTACATCCAATGATATATTGACAAAGATTGATAAAACAAAACAAAACAAAACACTTCCTCTATTTCGAAACAAAATAAAATACGTAAACGTACACATAAACAATTATGAGCAATTGACAAAAATAGCATCAAAAAAGTTTTTTTTTTTTCTTTCCAAATAACATTCTAAACTTTAATTAAAATAGTAAATGAGAACAAACACTAACCTAATTTAAATGGAATCAAAATTTCTTTTAAATGGTAAAATATATATACTAAACTGGAATTAGAAAACTCAAATATAATACCAAAAACCAATATTAAAATGAATCAAAATCTTTTTTTTTTTTTTTTTTGGATGAAATGTCAAATTAATTAATAAGCAGAATGTTATTTACAATATAAATGAAAGACTAAGCCCAACATTGAGAAACAGAGCCCACACGTTAAAACCAAAAAAACAGAGCATCAAACTTGTCCCAAAACAGAGTATAAACTCTTCGTAGCTTCTACTGTGTATTCCTTGAGCTGAACCATCTTTGCATCAACCCTCGAAGCTTCTTGTTGTCGAAGTATCTCAGAGACATTATTCTTGAGCGTATCACCCTTTCAATCGTGCGAGCTAATTGTGTGTGTGTTCGGTACGGCTTTTTATGTCTTCTCTCGTTACGTTCTCGCCATATGTGATATACGGCTGCTTGGAAACATAACCGAAGGAGAATGTAGTCACAACTCTCAGATGATTGTGTGATAAGCCTCTGTATTGTCTCAGTCCAGTCCGGGTCTGGTTCTGCTCGCAATAAATCACCAACGACCTGAATCCACACCATGAATGAATATGGACATGCGAAGAACAAGTGGTCACGTGTCTCGTCAGGCTCTCCGCATAATAGGCAAGGTTGACTATCTCCCCAAGCTCTCATCCGTGATCCTGTAGTGAGACGATCCCTTATTGCCAACCAGGTTATAAACGCATACCGAGGAACCATTTGCGGGAACCAGATGACCCTACTCCATTCCGTAGCTTCTCCACGAGACCGCAATTGTTCCCATGTAGAGGCTGCCGCATACACTGGCCAGTAGTCATCCGTTGAGTGTCGCCACTTAACCACATCACGGCTCGCATCTACGGTAGGTGCCTTGAGGCCCCGTATGTGTTGGATGACATCCAATAACACTCTGTCCCGACATCGTCGAAATCTCCACCCTGTTGCATCAACCACCTCAGATACCTTAGCAAACTTTGGAATTCCTAGTTGATAACTTGCTGAACCAATAGTATCCACCAGCCGTCCCATGGGAAGCCATCTATCGAGCCAAAAAAAGGTGTTTCTTCCATCTCAAATTTCACTGCGGATAAACTCAGCAGCTAATGGTCTCAACTTAAGAAGTTTCCGCCACTGCCATGAGCCCAAAGTAGTCTCCTTGACATCCCATAATGTACCTTGCCGTATCAGATATTAGGGATAATATTATCCCACATTGGAAAGGACAAGGGATCTTGATTAGTATATAAGATATATGGGCCTCTCCACTCATTGCCAATTGGTTTTGAGTTGGAAGCCCATATTCTAATATGGTATCAGAGCCCGATCCGTACATGTCCAAATCCAATCCACCATCGGCCCGGCCCAATAGTTGGCCCGCCGATCCATGCCCGAGCATACCGAGATCAATGGCTAGAGCCATCATCTCGAGGGGGCGTATTAGGGATAATATTATCCCACATTGGAAAGGACAAGGGATCTTGATTAGTATATAAGATATATGGGCCTCTCCACTCATTGCCAATTGGTTTTGAGTTGGAAGCCCATATTCTAATATCAGATACTGATGGACCCATGCCACCCACAATGATCCAGACCCCGAGAGCACCTTCCAAATCAGACTTAGACCAAAAACCCGAGAAACCTCATGCAGTCTCCGAATACCTAGTCCACCCTCATTTTTAGGCAAACATATATCCTCCCAGGCCACTTTTGATTTCCCCTGAATGTTTGGAGAGCCACTCGAAAGGAATGCAGAACACATACTTTCAATTTCCTTGAAACACTTCTTCGGGAGAGTAAAGACTGAGCACCAAAAATTTGTGATACTAGCTATGACTGATTTGATTAGTTGTACTCTTCTTGCATAGGATAAGTATCTAGTGGTTCAGCTTGAAAGTCTGTTCCTAATCTTGTCTAACAACGGTTCATAGTCGGTCCTAGACATAGCCTTAGTGGTAAGTGGTAATCCGAGATACCGAATAGGTAGTTCACATACCTCCAGACCAGAGCTCACCGCAGCCTGTTCCAGACTAAGTTTCCCTCTACCCGCAGCAAAAAGTGAGGATTTTGAGACGTTTATATTCAGCCCCGACATGTGCGCAAAATCAGCAAAAACCGCAAGCGTAGTATGAAGTGACTGAGGAGTACCATCCGTAAACACTAATATGTCATCCGCAAAACTTAAATGTGAGAGATTAAACTCTTGACATTTAGGGTGGATTCCAATACGTTGCTCCATCACTGCCTTAGTTAATAAACCAGAAAGAACATTAGTCACTATCACATATAGGTAGGGAGAAAGCGAACAGCCTTGCCGCAGACCCCTAGAGCTTGTAAAGAATCCCTCAAGCTCTCCATTTACAGAAACGGAGAAAGCTGCAGTGGAGACACAAATAAATCCAGTTAATAAACTGTTCCGGATAATGCATAGCTCGGAGCGTTGAGGAAATAAAAGACCAGTGAACCGTGTCGAAAGCTTTCACTATATCAAGCTTAATAGCAGACCGTGTAGATATCGAAGGCCTGTGATAATCCTTGACTAATTCGGTGGCTAACAGTACATTTTCCAAGATCTCTTTATTAACAGTACACAAAATCTCTTTGAAATGGTGGAAATATATACAGTAAAACCTCTATAAATTAATAGTGTTGAAACCATGAAATTTTATTAATTTAGAGAGGTATTAATTTATCGATAAATTAATAATTATTAATTTATAAAGAGGTTTTACTAATTTTGTAATTTCTTAAAAAAATTCTATCTAAAAATATTTTTTTTCTTTATAAGCTATATCTTTTAAAAATTATTTACAAGTAGAGAAGCTATTATTAAGTTTTAAAAATAACAAAAACTTTTTTCAAATAATAGAGTCATATTTCATTAAATTTTTTACATATAATATGTTAAATATATATCATAGTAATTCATATATGACATATATAATTTTTTTTATATATATATATTGAGTTAAATATATATATATATATATAAATTTACACAATTATTAATTTATGATATAGATGAGACTATATGTTTACATGAGATTTTGAAAAAAAATTATTATCTTATTAATTTATCGATTCATGTCATATTTTACACTGGTCCCAACTCGGGACCGGAAGAATTTATTAATTTAGAGAGGTTATTAATTTATAGAGTATTAATTTATAGAGGTTTTATTGTACCTTAAATCCCAATTAATAATAAGGAATCTAAACATAATAACACAAATTCAATATTAAAATGGATCAATATCGCTTTTAAATGGTAGAAATATATATCCTAAATTAGAAATAGAGAATCCAAATATAATATTTTAAATTTATTTTGGTTGAATAGTTTTTAAATAAAAATTGTGGTATTATTTCCACCAAAAAAAAAAAATGTGGTATTATCGAAAAAAAAAGTAAACTAGGGATAATACTTTTGAAACAAAAAACTCAATAGTGAATCAACTGTGGAAGTCGAAACTAACACAATCGAGATTTGTCTAGGGTTTTATTTTAGGGATACAATGTGCGAGAATTCTCTAAGAACAACAGAAATAATTGTAACCAAAGATGGTGTTCTTGATATTATTGATGAAAAGAGTAGTTTTGATCGTACAAAGAACTAGATCGTAAAAAGAAAAGTGTTTGTTTGCTTTCGAGGGTCAGAGCTTTTTGTAGTCTGAAGTCTAGAGCGTTTTTGCTTATGCTTTCTGCGTGAGCCTTGAATTGCTTTACATAGGGATGGTAAACTGCATTTCCAGCGATATTCTTGGAAGATTTCCATTTATCTTGAAGTCGGCTTAGAATATCGCGGATTTGGATACTTTCCTTATTCTTCGGAGCTTTTGGAAGATTTCCCGATTTGAGTTGATCCTTCGAGATTCTTTCTTATCATTTCGGAAATGATCCTTCTTTCTCGGAAATGCTGTTATGATCCTTCGAGAAGGCATTTATTCGCAAAGTCTTTGTTCGGGAAATCTTTAACATTTCTCCTCGGGTATCTTCAAGGTTCCGCCTCGGGTAACTTGGTGCACCTGGCTCGGGTGACTGGTGACTTCACCTCAGGTGGACTCGAGACACTTTTCCTCGGGTAGCTTCGTAGACTCCTCGGAAGGTTTGAAGACTCAGCTCGGATGATTTGGAGGCTCGGCTCGGGGTAATTGGTGACCGGCTCGGGGGAGGTTGATGGTGCGATGTACAACCCGAAACGAGGCGCCAAGAGGGTACCCGAGCTGACTGGCAGGGTATCCGAGCTGATTGGCAGGGTATCTGAGCTGTCGGACAGGGTACCCCGAGCAGATTGGCAGGGTACCCCGAATTGATTGGGAGAGTAACCCGAGGTGAGAGGTTTGGCTCGGACTCAAAGGATGGGTGAAACCCGACCCCAACATCAACTAATACTATTTCGGGAAGTTAATTTAGTGTGTGCTATAATTGTCCATAAAATTTGTTTAGTCGATATATTTATTTTCTAGTCGTACTTATTTATGACGTTAACCCAATTATAAATTGTGCTTTGGAGAATTTTTAAAATTCATATTTTCAAAGTAAATAAATTTGTTAGAACAATATAGTATAATATTAAACACATGCAACACATGGGTTGATTTCACGTATTTGATATGACGATCTAAGATTATTTTGATTTCTTATTTATAAGCTCTGTTTAATAGGTGTGGCCGTGTGAAAAAAATTATGTGGGCTCTAAGATCCATTAAAAAAAATAATCTTATACAATAAATTCTATTTTTAGAGAAACAATTAGAAAAAAACCCAAAAAATTGAAAATACTAACTTAATTA